ATCTAAAACCAGCTCAAAGTCTGTCACCAAGTTTTGCCAGAAAGCATCAGGAGAGATTGATGGACAGTCTGTTGTTGTGGTCGACACCCCCGGCTTGTTTGACACGAGTCTGTCCAACGATGATATTCAACAGGAGCTTGTGAAATGCATCAGCATATTGTCTCCTGGACCTCATGTGTTTCTACTGGTGCTGCAGATCGGTCGATTCACACAAGAGGAAAAAGAGTCTGTGGAACTGATCAAGAAATATTTTGGCAAGAATTCAGGAGATTACATCATGATTATATTCACCAGAGGAGATGATCTGAAGAATCAAACAATTGATAGTTACATAGAAGACAGTGAAGACTTTGTCAAAAAACTGATAAATGACTGTGGAGGGAGATACCAGGTCTTCAATAACAACAATCAGACAGACCGCACACAAGTCAGAGAGCTGATCACAAAGTCAAAAACAATGGTGAAGGAAAATGGCGGCAGCTGTTACACCTCAGAGATGTTCCAAGAAGCTGAGGCAGCGATACAGAAGGAAGTGGAGAAAATCCTGAAGGAGAAGGAAGAGGAAATGAAGAGGAAGGAGGAGGAGCTGAAAAGAAAACATGAGGAAGAAATGACAGCAGTGACGAGAAGAATGGAAGAACAGAAGGCAGAAATTGAACTGGAGAGAGCTAAACAACTAAAAGAAATGGAGGAAAACATCAAAAAAGAGCAAGAAAGGAGAGAGAAAGAACAGGAAATGAGAGAAGAGGAAGACAGGAAGAGGAAAAAGCAGGAAGAAATTCAACAGCAAGAGTGGGAACAAAAACTTAAAGATCTAGAGAAACAAATAAAGTCTGAATCAAAGGAAAGGGAAACTATTGACAGACAGCTGGAACAGAGCAGAGAGGAGATGAGAAAACAACATGAGACCTGGGAAAAGGAAAGAAAGGAGTGGTGGGAGAAACGATATCGAGAAGATGAACAGAGACGACAGGAGGAGCAAGAAAGACTGAAAAAACTCCAAGAAGAATATGAACGGGAAAGAGAAAAATATGAAAAGAAAAGAAAAGAAGAAGAACGAATCAGAAGAGAACAAGAGGAGAAGGAGAGAAACAAATTAGAGAAAAAGTATAAGAAAAAACTGGAGGAAATGAAGAAGAAATATGAAGAAGAGGCCAGAAAACAAGCTGAAGAATTCAATGAGTTCAGACAGAAATACATGAAAGACTTTGAAGCTCTGATAGAAATACATGATGAAGAACTCAAGGCTCTGAAGGAGAGACACTGCAAAGATTACAATCTGTTACACAATCTCTCCAGTCACAAAGAAAAGGAACTGAAAGAAGAAATGGGGAGAAAACAAAAACAACTCAAAGAACTGGAGGACTTGAAGAAAAACCAACAACAGGAAATAAATGATCTGAAGGATGATCATGAATCGAGATGTACCATCTGCTGATGATGCTTCCCACAGCTGGAATTTTCAATATTATTCATTATGATGTTACAAGCTGAACATCATTTAATCTGCATAGACGCCTTGAAGACACAGACATTAAATCACAGTTTTAAGGATATCTGACCGCTATTGTTTAATTGTGTATTAACAACAGAACAAAATGGATTTAGCACAGCACCTCTCTAAGTACAAGTACATTATTATTTCAAAGGTAAAGTAAAAGCAAAAATAAGAGAACGTTATTTACTAGTAGACATGTAGAGATAGTCAGTTCCCTCTTCAGTGTGATTAACAGTTCGACAGAATGAAAACAAACTGAGTTCAAAACTGCGACTGTCAGGTGTTTGAAATGTTTTACAGTTTTACAGTTTTTCTCAATAGTTCTTAAGTTACGTTGATTTATTTTACTTAACATTTTATAACTTTACTTTAGATTTTGTCTTACAGTAGTTACTGTAATGTAAGTTAACGGTACTGACTTTAAGAAAAAGGTGCTAATAGTAATGAACAGGGGCCAGGGGTACCACACTATGTTACTTTACACCTGGAGTATATGATTTGTATGGCGGGGCATCTCTAGCACCACAATGTTTATGATGCTAACAATGCACAACAATGTGAGACATTTTTCTTTTATCAAAAAACTTGCAGCTCCTGCAATTTGGATATTGCACTTGACCACATTGCAATTTTGATTATATTTCAATTGATTGTGCAGCCCTACTGGATCACTACAGGAAGTTTGATAAAATATTAACCAAAATATAAGATAAATATGAGAAAATAGAAAATAGATGGAAATGGTTCACTGGGTCAACAAACCTGAGACCAGATAAATTATGAAACTTTTAATTACAGTCTTCCTTATATAAATTTCTAAGTTCATTCAGTTTTCTGTTATATTCTAAAATATAAATTGGTGATTGTTGCACTAACCACAACATGGAATTTTAAAACTGTTTATCACCAGTTACTGGGTTGCTTTTAAATTTTATGCTACATGTATTATTATTAACTTCACTGCATCATCACTCCGTCTTAAACAAATGCAGTTTTTTTTATCATGGTTATCCAATCAATTATGATTTTTAAGTATTTGGTAAAAATGTTGAAATGTTAAACTGTATTTGTTTGCATGTTGTTCATAATTCTCCAATCATCAGATCATTCAGTATGTAGTGTACATGTATTTGTTTACTCCTGTGATTCTTAATATTTTATCTGCATTTAAACAATCACTCCCAATTGTTTCCTCAGTTGCACTGATTAAACAAACTATTTAATCCTGCAATTTCAATTTCAGAAATTTAAATATAAATAAATCTTCTAAAAATAAAGAGTTAAAAGGGCTTCATGGATGACTTGTCATTTTTATCATTTGTTCAGAATTCATTGTACAAAGAGATTCAACCTTAACAATACTCGTTTTAGGATTACAATGATTACCGTAGTGCTACAAGGACAGCTCTCTCCACAAATGTGTATTGTTTTGGATGAGACTGGATTTCCATTCATGGTAAAGCTATCAAATTAATCTTAGAAATAAGGATTGTAGGATTGCACGTATTTGTGGGAGACTGTGGGAGTAACAGCAAAATGCAAACTCTGACACAAAAGATAGAATCAGATGAACCAATAAAGTGCAACGAATGAAGGCAAATATAAATAATAAACATTTGACAAATATGACAATAAATAAATGATCTATAGTATAAAATATATGACCAGATCTTTTGTTCTGTACAGGAACAAAGATCTTTTCAAAGTTGTGCACAGTAAACAACAATGTTCTCGTCTTTGCCACATTTTCCTCTGAAGCTGACCGTAAGCAGCCTTTAGGACGACCAGGAACAGCATCAACATGATTCTGCTGCTCCCAAAGACCCATGAAAAGTTCAGAAACATTATTCATACAGTAGACACTTTCCAACCTATAAACACAGATTGTTTGAAGAAGTTTGCCTTGTGATCCAATGGAGGGCGCTCTTCACTAAAGCTTGACCTGTGGCATGACCTTTTGACCTTTTAGTAAACTAAGCAGTTGAGCTAGTAATGTGTTATCTGCTTCAAAAATGGAAGACACCAACAAAGCCGTCCTGAGCAGGCAATCACAACATCGAAGCATCTGAGAAGCAGTGTGTGGAAGTACTTTAGGTTTTACACTGTAGAACTAAACATAAGGCTGTTTATGGACTTCAGCTGCGTTACTCTACAACAGATGAGAGGAGCAACATCAAGTACAACCTTATCTGACCGCCTGTTATTCTGCACACTCAGCTTCAGCATGCCCCTTGCCAGAAACATAGCAGGATTTATATGCAAGGATGTGCAGGGTGTGTGCAGGGGGGTTGTGCATGTTGTAATTCATTTGAACGTATTGCATGTTATTTGAACTCGTCTTAAAGACTAACTGACGTGCAGTATTTTTGGATAAAAGTTTTTCACAAGGTCTGATGTTAAAAAAGTGAACAAAAACTGCAACAAATTGAAATATTGAATTTCAATACTTTTGACATTGTAATAACTAAAAATCACAATACGTGTCGAATTGTCACCCAAGTATTGTAGTATCAAATAATTTATATTAAGTGTCATATAATTTATAATTGTAAAAAAAAATTAGTATGAATAGTTTAGTTATGAAAGTGTGTCTGCATTCCTTAAATGAAGGAGGAGTGATAAACACATACTGAACTAGACTAGATACCAGGCTGATTTACACATCTCACAGACTACACTCACCCAACTTTAATCCTTTGTTTCGGAAACTGAGACGCGACTCTCCACCGGCTCCTCACCCACAGCTCACCCATTCCCCCTCCCCTTCCTCTCTTTTTGGTGAACAGCATAATTTCACTTTCATTTGTGTGGAGGATTTCTGACGCACTTCAGTTGGTGAGTAAATTCAACTTATAGTAAAATACCAACATTAATTTAACTGTCGCGGACTGATCAACAGATCCGATCATTAACCCGCACGAAGCGTTAGTATTGACATTATCGACTGAAAATCGATCAGTGATCATGTCAGGTGCGTCTGTTTAGATTAGATTCACAGTTCGATATAATCACAGTAACTTCACTAAATGAGCTGGAAACAGATTTCTGATCATCCGCTCGTTATCCAGACCGTCCGCTCAGGTGAATAACTGAGTTCACTTCGGGTAAAGGCGGTAAATTAGTTCTGCTGTCTGAAGCGGAAATTGATCAAACATCAGCAAGAAAACTAAGATTTTCCTGTGTTTTGATGTTAAACGCAAAATTCATTCTGTTTATAATCTGGGAAGAAAATCTGTTTCTGTGGGACACAGTTTCAACCACTGTGTCTTTAGTTGTCAACTCTTACATAAAGTGTAAACCCGCCATTGCAGCGTGGTGACGGATCCAGGAAGAGGTGTCAGACTCAAAGAGACAAAGCACCATCTAAATAATGTTTGATTTTATTAACATTAGATGCATAAATGTCTTTGTACTTTAACTATAACATCGAGTTCACATTATTTATTTATTTATTAAGTCATTTAATTTAGGGATGTGTGTGTGTGTGTGTGTGTGTGTGCGCGCGTGTGTGACCACACCCCACTATGCACACACTCAGACCTTCCTTGCTCAGTAAGGATCAGCATAGAGAAGCCGGATGTAAAGAAGGAAAGTTGCTGGTTTGATGTTCAGAAGTGACTGAGTTGATGCAGCAGCAACAGAACAGACTGATTTAACTGGGAAGCTCCGACTTCAAACAGTCTCATTTATTTTATCATTACAAGTTCTCCCCAAGATATTTTATATATTTGTTTAGCTGGCTACAGTAACTTATGTTCTGCTCATAATGTTAACGTAGCTTGGATGTCATGAAGTCACTTAGACGCAGAACGAGAGGATGTTTGTGCTTCAACATCAACACATTTACTGATAGAAACTCTTTTCTCCTCACGCTGATGTGTGAGCTGATGTTTGGCATATTCTTGATGTTTACCGATGTCAATGCATTTAATTAATGTTTTAATAAAATATTAAATTTCAGATTCTAAATTTTAATTGATTGAAGTTATGAAGCAGCCATGTTTTTAGACCTTATGAAACCCATGTCTATAATTATCTGTATGTGAATATGTGAGGTAATTATTTTTTGTTGCACGTCTCTTAGATTTCTGGATCCAGCAGTTGTTTGATGTCTCCAGCTGAGTGACAGTATGGAGACAGCAGCAACAGGTGAGTCCTGTCAGACTTTATTAGTCTGGAGTTTCCCAGGTTTGTTGACGTCAGCTTTGGGTGAAGATATTGACAGTATGTTGTATCCCAATGTTAAAATGCAGCACAGCTCTTGACTGTGGTGCAACTGTGTCAGTTTTGTCATGAGCAGGTGCATCACGTGTTACTAGACCTGCCAACCTGAACGCTTTCTCCTTCCTTCACTGACCTATGAAAAAAATATCCTGAAGCTGGGAGGATTAACAAATGTGTGCTGTCCCCCAAAGGTTGGCAGCTCAGTGTCAGATAGAAACTGAGTCTTGTGACAAATTCTCTCAACTGCATAATGAATCTCATCATAATAACAACACATTGGTTTATATTTCAGTTACTAGTGGGTCTATAATGTTTAAGGGATACGTTTATTGTTTTTGTGCATTTCCAAGATGAAGTGACTTTACAGAAACTATTTTATAATTGTTTTTATGAATGACTTTGTTCCTCTGTCTGTCTTTACAGGCACAGATGTGTCCCTGAAGCGCAGCAGCAGCT